AGTGTTCTAGGCCAGGCTGGATGGGGCTGGTGTTCCTGCCCACAGAAAGGGAAGCTGGAACCAGATGACCTTTAGTGTTTCTTTCAACCCTAATCATTCCATGGCTGCACAGCCTTGAAGATCTTTTCAAATATAGATGATTCTATGAAAAGTGAATATTTACATGTGAAAAATACATTAACCAATACCTGAGAAACTGGAAGAACTTAAAAAAAAAAGTCTACACTCACTGCCAACTGTTTTAATCTTTATTACCAATGGATCTTATTTAAAAGAGAACAACAGTGAGTGATAAGAATGTGAGGAGCAATGGTCAGCCAACAGGACTCAGACCACAGAAGACTGTTCAAAGTCCAAAAAGCAAACAGAAACCATGCTGTAGACTCATCACACTGTGGTTAGCTGTTACAAAATCTAGACACACAGTATTGCATTAAAAAAAAACACAAAAGAACAAAAAACAAAAACAAACAAAAAAACCCCCACAAAAATAGAAATAGAAAATCATTATTGAGCTATCCGGTATAAAACACTGCTGTGGTAAACTTGCTCTGCTGGTTCAACAGATTGGATCAACTGGTTGGGTTTGAGGAAACATTTGCCAAACCTGAGTCAGGTCAGCTGAAAACTGCACTGAGAAGAAATGGAAAGGGATAACAAATGAAGAGATACAGGAAGTAATTCTTAGAAGCAGGCCAAGGAAGTGTTTTTTGAAAAAAAATCATACATAAAACATAGGAGGGAAAAGGATTTATGATGTAAAACTTTCTGGTGACTGACATCAATTATGATCTGAAAAGCTTGGGTGACAGGCTTGTTGAAGACTGGTGCCAAACGTGACACTAGTTTCAATGGTTCATCACTGCTGCACCAGGGATGAAATCTCATTAAAATGGCAAGTGAGATAGAATTAGGGGAAACCTTCCAACCTAAGTTGGAAGGTGATCACCTAGACACAATGTATTTATTTTTAAATGAATGTGCCCTTTTTACACTTTCTCAAATGGTAAAGACTGAGGTGAAGAATAGAAACTGAAACAGTTAAAAGCAGAAGGTAGAACAGACTAGATGCAGTGATCTCTGGAACATTCAGTGAAGGTCTCACTAATTCAGCATATCTTCCAATCAGGGTAGCTTTTATTATGTGAAAAAAAATTACAATTTTTTAAATAAAAAGTGCTATTTTTCCACTGAAAGAAATACACAATTTTTGAAAGGCAATAATGCAAAACTTCTCTCTCCAAGGTGTTGAACATGAACAGCGACACTGGGAACAGACCAGAATAGATCAAAGCAGTGAAGGTCACAGCAGGGAATGCCAGCATCAAATGTTTTGGGGGGGGAGGAGGGGAAGTAACATTAAAAGCTTTCCTGTGAGAAGTTTGCAAATCTGAATCTGGTGTAGTCATTTGGCACAACCTATTCATGTGCCATTAACACAAGCAAAACCCTACCTTTTATGATATAAAAATATTGCTGGGGCTGTGAAACACACTGCATGTACTTTATCCTAGATAGAAAACCAGAAGAGAAAAAAGGAAGTTTAATCTGTAACTAAGAACAACACTATTTCTCTAGTGCACAAGCCAGTAGCTGAATGCATTGCAATGCACAGACTTATCACAGGACAGCACAAAGCAGTGCTCATGGCATTTATACACTTACAAGCACATGAAATAATGAAGCATATTAACTCAAAAAATTTCTGTGTCTTATTGTCACTTATAGAAAACTCTCATATAATGTGCATCACTGACACTGAAGTTACTTATGACCTCAGAAAAACCTATATACATCTCAGCTGTATGCAAACCAGGATTATTAACCTATTTCCATTTAAAAGAAGAAGAAAAAGAAACTTACTGAAGTGAAAATAAAATTTTCTTAAGTATAAAGAAGATACATGAAACAATGACACTGAGTAGAAGGCGTTGGAAAAAAATGATCTTCTGCTTTTCAAAAGACATTACAAAACATCATTGAGAAATTACATACCCAAATGACTAATGCTATCTACAACCTTGAATTATCATCCTTCCTTCCAACTGTACGCAAATACTCATCAGAGAAGGCCTCTCTTAAGGACACACTCAGTACTCTTTGCACATTATAATCACTTGTGTTGGATCATCCCATCAATTTCTTCGTCACACAGAGCCTGAACGGACAAGTTTCCTTGGTTAGTTCCCAAATAGGAATGCATCACTCCTGACAAGATGTAATGATCTCAGTGTCAGGTGTGGAATGACAACTATACTGTGTGTGTGAACCTGATTATTTGTTAACTGGTGCTTTAGACTTATCTACATCTCCAAGTATTTTATGCTCAGTATAAAGGCCTCTGCAAACCAACCAAACTATAAAACAGTGTGAGAAACTACAGAACTTGAAATGTTTGTACACAACAAGAAGAGGAAATGCCTTTGACAACCACCGCCAATAATGAATGTTCAAAGTAAAAAAAGGGTAACAACTGATTTGTAAAGAACTGATAGCCCTCAGAATATGCTATCAAAATAAAAGCAAGAGGGCTGGGATGCAACAAAAGAAAAGATTCTGCCCATGGGAACTGAAAATACAGATGGAGGGAACTCTTCAGAAACAAAATTTCATTAATTACTACGTGCAGCACATTGTTGTCTTCAGACTATTATTGTTAATTTATACATCATTAGAGAAAAAAGTTATTCAAGATGGACAATTTAAGGGCATCATTCTGCTTATATGTATGTAAAACAGTGAGGAGATGTTAACCAGAAAACAGCTGCTATAAACACACACTGAATAAACTGCATGTAAATTTCTAATCTATAATAGCAAAACAAAGATGTAATTACAGGGAAGTAAGGTCATCACTATTCTCACATTACTACTGTAGGGTGTATTAGGCAACAGATGAAATATAGAACTACAGTTTCTCTCCTGAGGAACTCCAGGTACATCTCATCCTTCAGCATGTTCCCCAACTGAAGCCTAAAGAAGACTTCATTAACAGCAGTTGGAAAACGAGTTGTGATCAAAACCAGGAACTCTGAACCTTAGTCAGTACCCTGAATCACTCATGATTAATATTAAGCAACCAGGAAACATATACAGTAGCAAATATATATAAACAAGCCTGCCATGTGTACACGCCTTGCATTCAGACATAACTTCCAAAGCATGCAACACCTTTTGGCAGAACACTGTAGCAACTCATCTTTAAGGCTCATAGGAAGAAATAACTAAAAAGACTCCTAAAGTCTGAACCTGCTCTGTCAGAGACTTAAACAAGACTATCTCATTGCTGGAAGTGATTACAAATCACACCATTATCCTGAACTTTGCTTCTCATTGCACAGCTGTGTAGCAATACTGCAGCGGACTGTTGCCAATCACACGTGTAGCAGTCTGTATTGGACTTCATGTTGGACTAACCACTAACCACAGAGCAGACTTACAGAGGGTCACACAGAGTTTTCTGATTTGAAAACAACTAATCTGATCTTTTTCTGAAAAGAGAAATATAAAATATACATAAAACTTTAAAAGGACTACTGTTTAGAACACAAAGCTTCACTTACATAATGATGCCATTTGCACTGCATATGAACTACAGCAGAAACAAAATGTGACCAACTCACCCTCCTTCACTTTCCGCCTCCTCAGAGCTGGTAGTTTCTGTTGCACCAGATGCTGCCTCCACTTTCCTCCTCCTTGCTGCTCTGTGTGATGGGCTAGCTCTCTGTGCATCCCCTCTCCCTTGGAGCTCATCTCGAACCAGATCTTCCAGCTTTGGAATAGCTTCTTTCAGAAATTTCACCTCTCTCTTCAGTTCGTCCACACTTATTAGCAAGCCGTTCAGTTTTTCAAGTATCTGTAGTTGTCTTCCATGTAAAACCATGACTGCTCCTTGTTCATTATGGGCTTCATGTTCCAAACCCACAGAATGAAGCTTGTTCCCTACATCTGTGAATGCAGGCATGTGCACGGCTGCACTGGGTTTTCGGGTCTTGTGGTACCAAACCAGGACCAGGCTTATTCCAGCAGTCCCTGCCATTATGCCCAGTATCAATCCTTTATTTTCAAAGTGAGACATTTCTGCGCTCTCCTAAGATTGGGAGACAACAATAACAGGCAGAGTTAAAGACGTTTTCCCACTCTACCCAAACCACCCACTTTGCTTTTAAATCACAAAATGTTAAGGCTAGAATAATCAGTGCATGCTACAGACATGAAGCCACAGCACAACTCCAGCAGCTTCTGCAGTAACAGGCGATGTGCAGTGACAGCAAAAACAAGACAGCTGTGGGCTGTTGTTGGGGACAAGGACGCGCACTTTTGTATCAGCACAGCATCGCGCCTTCGCTTACACGGCTCCCCGCAGTTTGCGTTGAGTATTTTATTGTTTTTAAAGGCGAGAAACTCGTGGCAACCGGGTTTCTCCCCCTGCCCGGTGACAGACAGCCGTCAGGCCGCAGCGCAGCCCGCCCCGCCCCGCCCGCTGCCCCGCACCGAAGCCCCGCGCTCCCCCCCTCCCCGCGGCCTCCCGCCCCGCAGCCCGTCCAGACAGGGGGAAGCCGGCAGAGCCAGCCCCGGGCCCGTCGCCCCTCTACGTACCGGCGGGCCGCCCCGGCTGCGGGATCACTCCCCGCAGCTCTCCCGCCGCGGCCCAGGGGGCGGCGATACCCGGATCGAGGGGGACGGGCCTCCGCAGCAGCGGCCGGCCGGGCCTCCGGGGTGACGGCCGCTTCCCCTCGGAGGAGGGCGCCGGGCCCGCCCTGCGGCTTGCGGCAGCACCGGCACGGCATGGCGTGTAGGGAGGCGGGAGGCTCTCTGTGCCGGTCGAGGCCTATCCCTGCGAACCCGGCCGGGCCGTTGCTGCCTGAGAGCACCAAGGGGTGCTGCCGGGGAAGCCCGCTGCACCTGCTTGGGTGCTCAGGCGGGGCTGCTGGAGAGCGAATGTACCTGTGAGCGTGTCTCTGTCCGCTCTGCCGGCTGCCGATTGCTACCGACTTAACCTTTGTTACTTCTAGGAATTAGAGAGGCAGTTTATTTCCTCTCCACCTAGTGCTGCAAAGTGCAGAGAAACCCTGACCGGCTGCGGGAAGAGGAGCAGCCCTGGCACAAAAGTGTAATCGGTAACTTGGCTGTCTGGGAGCCCAAAGCTGACCGTGTAGTTTGCTGGGGAGCAGGATGCACTGCTCCTGTGTCCCATCTTTTATTTATCACATAGCACCCTTATTTCTCCCTCGTGGCAGTATTTCTGGTTCTGCCTCCTGCTCCTGGTTTTGGAAGAAGGACTGCCACAGACAACCTGCTGTGCCCATCCATCTTCCTGAGTGCTTCTGGAGGCCCTTGCACAACATCCTGCCACAAGGGTGGAAACACAAAACTGCTGTTCACTGGGAGGGCCCTGGAAACCTTTAAAGAAACTGTTAAGACTGCACATAAGGAAAGTAACTGCTGGTCAACAGCTGGAGTTTTCCTCAGTCCTATCACTCAGAAAAAAAGGAATATAATGTAGTTTTTTAAAAAGCAAACAAACAAAAAAAACCAAACAAAACCCAAAACATGCTAAAACCAAAAATCACAAAACCATGACATACCTTTATAAGAGTGAACAAGATATCATATAAAAAAACAGCAATAAAAAGCCGATCCATGCAGGTATTTTAGTCTGATAGTCTTGTATCTATTTCTCTTTACAGAGATTTCCCTTAAAACAACCATGCCTATCTAATGCTCTGTTAAGAACCTGAGGAAAAAACAAGCCTTCCACGAGGCCAAACTACAGCCTGAGAAAGTCAGAAATCTTTTAACTGAAATGGAAACATTAAACCTATTTCTATATTCCGCAATTTTCCAAGTTACAAACAAGTGTAACCTGTTCATATGTTCATAATTCAAGTTTTGTAAACATCTCAGTTTTATGAAAACTTTACTAAAATAATTTTCAAAGAGTAATTTTTGTTATGATGGAAATAATTGTTTGGAGTTGTGTAATCCATCAGTATTTAAAAATGAGACCAGATTACATGAATCTTCATGCTGATCATATTTCAAATGTTCAGGAGTGGTCACAACATTTTGTTGGATAACCTTTATTTGTATTTTCTCTTTTCAACATCATTTGCCAAAAATCTTTCTCTAAGCCAAGTAAAACAGGAAAGGTTATTTAAAGAGAATTAATTGGAGGACAAACACAGCTGAAGCAGATTATAGATGCAGAAAACAATATGTTTCCAACGATTTTCTAATGTGGCTTTCTAAAGCCTGTGGCCCATGGTTTTAGAGTAGTCCATTTCTTTTCAAAAATAATAACCAGTAAGAACTGCTGTCTGCAGCTGCCATTAGTTTCTCTGGATGCATCATGACTGTCAAAATCAAGTCACAGGTCATGTCCCAGATTCCTAAATTGCTTTGCACCTGAGGCCACCTTACCAGGCATACCAATCAGAAATTAGAAGTCATTGCATGCATGTAGAAACCTGTCAGAACCCAGCAGCTTTCCAAGCTAGGACCTAAACACTAATTTACCTAGATGCAGTATGTTAAATCAGACTAAATCTTACAATTGGCCTAAGCGGATGGCAAGAAACTGTAGAGAAGCAGTGTTCTTCTGCATGTGGATTTTTTCTCATCAGTCAAAATTTGCACCTGAAGTGCTAGTAAATATCCAAGTCCAGCTCATACCTCTTACAAAATGGCTAGCCCAGTGTGTTTTTAGCCTTCCTAAGAAGTCAGAGCTTATGTCTCCAGCTTGTCTGTACTCTGTCCTGTCCAACAGTGCTACAATACTTAATTCACACAGTAGCTCCTGAACCTGTATATTTGCTTCAGTTTTGACAGAAGAAAGAAGTCACGATCCTGCAGTTCCAGCCATGTTAGCAGCTCTGAGGTAAAGAGGGCCTGTTACCATCCTGCCTTCCTCCCACTGTCCCCAGATGAGCTCAGCACCCAGGCACACCTTCATAAACAGAGCACTGTTTGTGTAAAAGCAGGCTATGCAGTGGCCTGGTCTTTTGGGATACTCTGAGCTTGGACAGCATTTTCTGTGTGATATTAGAAAATTAGTTTACTATTGAGCAATTGCATTCAAAGGGTGAAGGAACCATTACGTTATAAGTAACCAATGCATGCCATTTCCAACTAAGATGTGTATTAATTTACCAGTGTTCTAACTTCTGTATGAAAGCCATTTGTGTTTTTTTCATAACATTTTTGTGGTATTTTTTGTGTTTTTTTTAAATGCTCTCTCCTCAACAGAAAGTAATTTTGTAACAAACACAGAAACTTGTAATGTGTTAGTAACATTTCATACTCATTATTTCAGCAGTTGTAAGCATATAATCAAACCTTGTTAATAAATCACCAAATATTGTGAAAGCTTAAATACCTTTGACCAGTCTTGCCAACAGCCTGCCAGAAATCCTGCAGTTCTGTCAAGTTGTATTTAACTCTTTCCAAACCATTTGCTATAAAAAATAACCAAAATTTTACCGTACCTCAAAGGGAAGGGAAGCATTCATTGTCAGACTTCACAACATTTTCTGTTGCTCTTGCCATCAGCAGCTGTCCAATGCTATTAATAAAAAATAATGAATCAGTATAATAATGATCAGTAACAGCATACTGGTATTATCTGTTTTCTTCAAATAAACATACAGTGCTTGGCGTAGTTCCCAAGGAGGTGAGCTACTGTAATTGCACCATCTTTAAGCCTATGTGTGTACAAATATAACCCAACAACCATAAACACACTGCTCCTGCTTCTTTGTGTCTGTCTTCATCCCATCAGGAAGCTCAAGGATATTATCAAGGTATGTTTGTAGAAGCTATGTTATTTTTTTAAGTCCAAGATACCTGATTCAATTTCTGTGCTGTGAGAGATGAGAGTTGGCAGCCCAAAGGAGTTTGTGTATGTTGTGTTGACAACAATAGGAATAAATAGGCAAGGTCATAATTCCACAGGGCTGTCCAATTCCTTCACAAAGAGAAGTTGTCCTGGGAGTGCCAGAGTACACTGAAAGAGAAAGAATACATGAATAGACATGAAAACACGAGAAAAGTATATGTGTATGCATATATTTTACACTTGGATGTGTGATATTCTAGAATGGCCATCAGAACTTTATAAATACGTGTGTGTGTGTAAGTGCACATGTATGCTGTGTCACCCAATTTGTTTTCATCTATTTGAAGTGATGTGTCCTTTTCTCTCCTGCTTTCCAATATTATTTAGACAATTTTAAAATATTTTAGAGTTTTCTACCTGCAACTGGCAATGCCCCTTCCTGAACAGTCATGTACCTCCAGTATGCCAACTAATACGTGGCCCTTGGGCGTCTGCAATTTCATGTAAAACACACACTTGATTCAGAGGATGCGGCGTGTTCTTCCCTCACTCCTACTCTGGTTTGTACTACCATTTCTGAGCTTATAAAAAGTTTCTCTTCTGATTTTAACTTTCCATTTAGGCCTCTATAGCAATGTGTCCATTAGCATGACAGGCATGCATGTCAGAATTAACACAGGCTTGTAGTATAAAGAGGAAGTCCTAAAACTCAGGCAAGACAATTAAATCAAGTCTGAAATAATCATTATTTTACCAATAATTGTTTGAGTAAACATGAAACTTTTCCACATTCACCATTCTTTCTCAGTCTTTAGCATTGTTGACAAAAGACAGATAACAAAGAGCTCACTGCCTGTGCCTGACTCTGTCACAAACTTGCATGTGTTCTTCAGTAAATCATTTCACTATTTAGCATCTGCGCTTCCCTTTCTGCAGTACCCAAAATGTTAAAGCTACAGCTATACAAATTTATGTATATTTATAATATCACAGGATCATAGAATGGTTTGGGTTGGCAGGGACCTTTAAGATCATGTAGTTCCAACCCCCCTGCTACAGGTAGGGACACCTCCCTCTAGACCAGGTTGCTCACAGCTGCATTGCAGCCTGTACTTGAGAACACCTCCAGGGAGGGGGCATCCACAGCTTCACTGGGCAACCTCTTCCAACGTCTCACCACCCTCACAGTGAAGTATTTCTTTCTAATATCTATATCTACCTTCTTCCAGTTTAAAACCAATTCCCCTCATCCTGGTTTTGCATGCCTTTGTAAAATGTCCCTCCCCAGCTCTCCTGGAGGCCCCTTTCAGGTAATGAAAGTCACTACTAGGTTCCACCGGAGCCTTCCCTTCTTCAGGCTGAACAGCCCCATCACCCTCATCCTGTCCCTGTAGGGGAGGAGCTCCAGCCCTCTGATCATCCTCATGGCCCTCCTCCAGGGCCACTCCAACATTTCCATGTCCTTCTTGTGCTGGGGGCTCTAGAACTCAACACAGTCCTGCAAGTGGGGTCTCATGAGAGCAGAATAGAAGGGCAGAATCACCTCCCTCGACCTGCTGGTCACACTTCTCTTGATGCAATCCAGGATACAGTTGGCCTTCTGGGCTGCAAGCATGCATTGCTGGCTCATGTTGAGTCTTTCATCAGCTGACACCCACAAATCCTTCTCCTCAGGGATGCCCTCAAGCAATTCTCTTCCCAGCCTGTATCTGTGCTTGAGATTGCCCCTACCCAAGTGCAGGACCTCACTCTTAAGTATAAGTATATACCTTTGCAAATGGTTATTTTTCACAGTTCAATTTCTTTCCTGTTCAAATGATTCTACTTTAAGTCTGGATCTGTCTGTGCATGGAATAATTTTTCTTTGGTAGCCCACATCATCTGTTGTGTCCTACGAGATGAGCACAACTTCACTCTAGATCAGGAGATTTGGGGCGTTTGGCTCTGAGCTACACAGTTACTTGGGTAGGACAGAATGAGAACATTTTGAGGATGTCACCTCCGCCAGTCGCTGCTGTCTGAACACAGAAGAGTTCCCTTTTCGTCCTAGGATCCTGTTTGGACAATGACAAAGGCAGCAAAAAGTATGAGGAAAAGTGAAGAAGACAGAGAGTTATTGGGAAGCAGGGGATTCCTAATCAGTCAGAACTTTTGCTGTATGCAGCAAGAGGGCAGGATTTCTGTTTGATTCAACACCTGCACATCCATGCACTTACACAAATGAATGCACACGTAGAGAATATTCTGGTTTCTGATTATTTCAGCTCCATTTTGCTTTTTCCTGGGAACAGACCTATGAACTAAAGTAAAAGTAAAGACTGCATTACTCCAGTTGCGGTTTGCAGTTAGTACTGGCGTTTAAGAAGCTATTCCCATCTGGTTCTGAGCTAAAGACTCCTAAAGGACTGAAAAGTGCCTCAGCTGGGAGGCGTTCCATTGCGAGGCGAGCCGGCCGTGCTGCCTCCTGTGCTCATGCGGCGTTCGCGTGCTGCCACCGCGTGGAGAACTGCTCCGCGCCGCTCCCCCCCCCCCCCCTCCTGGAAGCGGGGGCTGAGGTCGGCTGTCCAGAGCCGTAACGCGGGCCTTTTGTGTCCCTATGTTTCCATTTGTTCGTTTGTTTCTTCCTTCTAAATGTAGATAGATTTCATCCAAGCGGTATGAGCGTGACTGTAACTGCAAGATATTATGCGGAATCAGTGTTCCCACGGATCCTTC